CAGTACCATTTGCAAAATTATTTAAACTGCCTCGTTAAAATTTAAGAATATGCTTTATTTAAAAGCATATTTAGCCAAAAATAATAACAAGTGAATTAACTTAACGTTCTACACATCTATAAAACTTTTGCTTTGTTTTCTATTGTTAATTTATATACATTTTTGTTTTAAGAAATTGCTAAACATTTTCGTCTAGTACTGTACAATTCTAGCCGATCTCCGAAGACCGCCCATCGAGAGCTCTGCTCGTTCAAGCTTGTTCCAACTATTTCTGTCTTGCTCACGCCTAGTGTGTATTCTTTGTATCTTCGTCCAGATTTCTTCAAGGTCACAATTCTAACAAATTGAAATGGACTGTAATACATCCCAGGTATCAAGCAGTTAAAAAAAAAATGTCGATCCAAAACTAACCCTGCGGGAATAGCATTTGCATAATCAATACATATAGTTAGGTTAGGTTAGGTTACACAAACCGCCCTATTTCTATACGGGTAGCATTTTTGAGTACGCACTGCTAGGTATCTTACCTGAATTTGGTTATTTTAACTTGGTTTTTGTATTAAAGGTTTTAAAGATAGAAGAAATTTTCGTTCACTACACTAATGTGTGGAAGTACGTTAATTCATAAATTATTTTAATAGCTACCTATTTAGAATAATTACCTGAATGATGTCACCATATTCACCACCATTTGCAGTAAAAGTAAGGTGACAAATGTAAGGGATCTTTGCTTCTTTAGGTCTGTGCAATTCCAAATCGTATGTAATATCGGCTTCTCCATAATACGTCCTATTACATTCTGTAAAATAAAAAAGAATTTAAATTAATTAATAGTAAAACTTTCAAGTTTTTCAAAATATCCATTAGATGTTATAGTATAGTAGATACATGATTTTATTCAAAAACTGAAGTAAAATAGCGTCGCTATAGTCGTTATAAACGATTTTCTGGAGAAATAAACGGTTTTGATTATATTTACCAATACCTCAAATATTTAAGTTTGCTCCATTTAATTCCACTCCAGGTTTAGAAGGTCTACGAAAAATACCTAATTTACAGTAAGGAGAACGTTTCTCCTTATCGTTAAGCGAACGATACCACAGTTAGGTAGTTGCTGTAAATTCTCGATTTATGTGTTTGAAGGCGTTTAAAGTAATCGTCGTTAAAGTGTAGAATTCGAAATTTATGTCAGTCAATGGTAAAGCTGAAATTGTTAAGCCGAGGAAAGGTTAAAGTTATCTCTTACTTAGTGGAATTTTAACACAAAGGCAAAAACATCGGCGATTTTCTGAATAAACGAAAATTTGAAACGGTTAATTTAGAATTCGAAAAATATTGTTTGAGGTATAGGTATATTTGTAACATGATTCTGTACGGGTGTGAAACGTGGACGTTGGTACCGGCTTAAATGATAAAGTAGAAGTTTTGTCAATTATGAAAATACGTTGGATAGAAAAGGTTAGGGGTAGGAAGGAATTAGAAAAAAAAGTCAACAGAAAAAAGAGAGATAGATTAGTAGGATATCTTGAGATATGAAGGGCTAATTAAGGACTTATTAGAAGCAGAAACAAGACTAAAGACGAGCAGTAGCACATTTGAATTAACAAATAGTTAAGGATAAGGGATAAGATTCTGTTTTGTTAGGTACATTGAAAATGATGATAAAGAATGACTAAATTTAATTTTAAGGTCTGAAAATAAATAAAAGGGTGATTTATGACATTTTCAACTGTTTTTTGTTACACTGACTATGTTTAAAAAAACCTGTTGACATGTCCGGGTTCTGGACTCTAAAATCCGAGGTTTTCACGCATCTTGCCTTAGTTTCCAAATTTTAGAGATGGTCACCCTAGCTTTAGGGAAATACGTAGATTTACTCAAGATAAGAAACGCACAAGTCCTTATAAATAAATATGTAGAATGCTTAAATTGCTTACGATTACCAATTTATTTTGCAGTAATAGTGTTTGCGGTTACTTAGCCGCTGCGTGTAATATTTTCAGCTTTTCATACATATAGCAAGTAAAATGAGTTCTTTTTCTGTTGTATGTGTTCATGCTTTTCATCAAATAGAAATAAGCTAGGCGCAATAATAGACTCTCAACTGTGTTTTTAGGGATGTTCACTTCGATTTGTCTTTATCGATCGTTTACTTCGGTTTCGAGCGAGTTGCTTTCAACGGGGCGAAGTTAATTTAATTTCGAACAATGAGCCAGACTTCTGTTGTACAAGTACAATAAAGTATATTTACCGCGATCGACCAATGAATTTGTCAGGACATTTTAATTAGATCTAGAGGAAGCTCGTGGCAGAATTAAATTAACATTTGATGCATCTCGACAAGAAATGTTGGAGATACCTTATTCTTTCTTAAACAAGCTAGCTTGTTGATATAGTTTTGTTTGGGGCATTTCCCTAAGGACCACAAGCGAATTGGTAAGAAAGGTTCCAAAATAATTACGTTTACGATTAAAGTAGATCAATAACTACTTTTTCATTCAGACGTACGGAACCCTAAAAATGTTTAAAAATTTAGTTTTAATATTTCTTTTCTTACAAATAAATTTTTATTGTATGGTATAGCCATTTCTACTGTAAGATTTTGATGTGCTTTTTTGATTATCTTCCTTTCAAAATAAAATGTTTCAAGGGCGAATATTAAAATAAAATCCCTTGCAAGTCAGTTTTTTTGTGATGTACGCGTTATTATTGAAAGGTTTTTCAAATTTACGTGATAAACCAGGTAGAAGATTAAATAAAGCGAACATAAATCGATCTTAGTTTAAAGCTTGAAAAGGCTCTTCCTCTTACGTCGTGTGTTCACAGTTATCGATATCGAAATCGTTTTAGCAACCCCATCACAAAAATAGTTAAAACGAACTGGATTTCCAATCGAACAGGTACAAGTCGGCAATCCCGAAAATTGAATTCCACATTTATCATTCAGTCCACGAATTATGTTAAAGTTGAGAATTTATTTAACTTGGGATTTTATTATTGACAGAATGAGGGATTACTTACAATATAAAAATGTTTGTGATCTCTGAAATAGTTTTTAGGATTTATAATTGTTCTTAGATTTGTAAAATACAAATTTCATTGAGTATAGACTGAAGAATGTACTGTTCGTTTCAAGAAGTTAGAGATATGCCCCTTCCCTTTATTAGGATACCCCGTAGCATAATTCCAAATTCAATCATATTTGTCTGCGTAGCTCATTTCTTCACCGATCATCGAGCGAGAACTAGACAAAAGTGTACATTACCATTTGCAAAATTATTTAAACAGCCAAAAATAATAACAAGTGAATTAACTTAACGGTCTACACACCTATAAAACTTTTGCTTTGTTTTCTATTGGTAATTTATATACATTTTTGTTTTAAGAAATTGCTGTCTAGTACTGTACAGTTCTAGCCGNTAATTTTTTAACTACAGCGATTGTCTATGTTTATATTCGTTCATCACTCGGACTAAGGGAATTGATTGTTGGTTGTAATTACAGACCTATCGAAACTGACATTTAATCTGCTTAAAATTAATCTGCCTATTCAGAGGCGCAGCGTTAGGCGTATGTACGTATTACATAGTTGCACACATAGATGAAAGTGCATGCGTTTACTTTATCGTTGTATTATGTATCTGACAACGAAGTAATAGAATTTCTGGGTGCCGTCAATTTCAGTTACCTCTTTTGAATACGGAACCCTTTATATGTGTACACATTAATGTATTTAAACACATCATAGATGCATCGTATGTGGACTGTACATATTGTACATTCATCATCGTCATCATAGGATCGTTAGTTCCTATACTGATTCCACATATTCCTCTCCTGAGCTAACCTTCCGTAAAACTAAAAATTTTCATATTCCTAACCGCTTGCGAACAGTAATCTGATGTACTTAAGTCTGTTTCGGCTCCTCTTTACTCCTGTTTCGGCGTCTAATATGTCCTAGTCCAGCTAACCTTCATCTCAAAGGTGTTCTACCATCTTATCTATCCTTTTCCTTATTGACTTCTGTTGTACTCTTTCTAATGTCTCATGTTTGTATCCTTTTCTATTCGGCTTCAAACCGGATACCCTACCCATCTCCAATGTTAATGCTTTAAATGTTATTATACTTGATTTACTTTCTCTAGCGTTATGTCTCTTCCAATGTCTTGGATGCGCGCTGGTAAAATCGTAGGTAGGGAGAAAAAAGCTCATTATCCTCTCAACTCTTGTTCATTAAACATACTTTTTCATACAGTACCTGCCAAAAGTTTTGTTCAATCTTGAATAGTAGTGCGAGTCGAAAACAAGCATTAAAGCCTTTAATATGTCTTCAAATATAAATAAACATCTCGTTGATATTTTAAGTAGTAAATGGTACCAATAACAGCACATTTGAGCAATGCAATTTTAGTGGATAAAATAGTCAATTTTTCCATGCAGTACTGTGCTGATTATACGCTTCTTGCCGTTTAAGAGTTTGGCCGTGAGTTGTCTCCTTTCTTTTCTGGTCTAGTGCTATTCTTGTCTATTTTGCTTCGGTCAAACTGAAGGTCACATCGCTACAGAAACTAAACGAAGTATATCATTGGATTTCTGAAATTACATTGCTCGTTTAGAGAGAAATAATTTCAATGTTTTATTACGAAAAACCATTAGCGGGATTGAGGACAAAACAAAGAAACCGAAAGAAAACATTTATTGAATCGTTAATTAGGCGAAAAACAAAGTATAGTAGTAGTACATATATAGTTTTAATCGGTTGTAACGTACAAGAAACAACCGATAAAATCGGTATATTTTATCAGAATTTCGTTTATTTACGTTATATTTATGTTTTATTGCAGCTTATCGTCCAGTAATTATTTACAAAAAATTTTGTAAGGAATATATCGTAGAATAGATATATAGTTAAGAACAGTTCGCCTGGTTTTGATAATTTAACGTTCTGTGTCGGATTCCATTAAATCTTGTGCTTAAAAGAACTTTGTTTAATAAGTATCAAATCGAGATCAGTATCGAGTTGTTTCAACAAACTGCTGCTAATATTCTTTGTTAAAATTGTAAACTTTGAAAGTGCAGATTAGGAGAGAGAAAATATAAAATTTCGTGCGTAATCGCCACAATAGTAATAATTTAACTATAAATTAGGTACAAATAATGCCATTTCCCTAGGGTTTAAGGTAAACCACAATTTGGATTATCTTTTAAATTCGACAAATAAATGATTAAACCACAATGTTGTCATCCACGAGTTTCAAACAGCAACCGTGCTGCTGTATTCAGTTCGTTCAAACTTTCTATCTTAATCTTCATACACGTCACGTTAAACTCGCTTTTCCGAAAGGTAAAGACTTCTCCTGTTAATCCGATTAAAACTTTTCTATAGTAAAAACGAACACCATCAATTCTACTTTTGACATGCAGCCACATAGTACTTTTGAAATATTCGAAGAGACATTCGCATTCGCTGCAAAGACTCCTTATATCCCTACGTGAAGTCAAAAATGACATTTTGTACCAAACAACATGCAAAAGTTTTCAGATTAAGAAACGAATACTTGCAGTACGGTTATATGTTTCTTTACCTCTTTAAAATCTATTACCTTACTGCTGAAAAGCCCCGAAGTCATTGCTAGCATTCTGCTTTCTTCAAATAAAATCTTACGTCCGGTTTCGATTGCTTGTTCTGCTATTGTCGATAGGGCAAACTGCCCAAGTTAGTGTGCACATCATGCGCTTTATTCCTATTAGTAATCTTCCTCCCGGTTTTTCCTGTATGTAGGTACCTATACTTTTTCGTAACAAAAGGGATTTGGTACCTATAGACTATGTGGACGACAGGGGTTTTTTAAAAAATAACTGCAAAATACGACTGTTAATCGGAAGTCAAGATTGGAAATACTTGACGTGACATTTGTGTGTATTAATGTGAATATTGCGTTGGTCTTGAAGTCTTGAAGCAAATATTTTACGTTCTTGTGACAAGGGCGCCATTACTCACTACTAATCATTGAGTACGGTTACATATGTGTTATGAGCTGTTCTGAGAGTTGTTACTGTTACTTTAATTTCATTAGAAAAAAAATTGTAAATTGCAAACCTATTGCAAGATCGTCATAGGATCGTCAGCCCTATTCTGAGCTAATCTTCGCATTTCCCTCAAATTTAGATCTACTTCTACTTCTCTTAACTGTTTCTGCTTCTAAAATGTCTCTAACTAGCCCTTCATGCCTGAGAATGCGCCCTATGTTTTCCTACTCTTTCTAATAGCTTCTCAATACCTAAAACCCACTTACTTGTACAATATCGTGGTTCGTCCGAGCTGTCGTTGCAGTCATTGATTCCGTTGCAAAAACGATTGAGAGGAACACATTGTTGTCCACTTGCGCATGCAAATTCGGATACTCTGCAGGATCGGGGCGTCGCGGTGGCGGTGGCGGCGTTGGTAGCGACGCTAACGACAACAACCACCATCGAGGCAGCCAGTTGTCGCAAAAACGCGACCGTTGTCCATGACGAGCTGCTTCTGTTCTGGCCCCTTTTTCTTCGCCAAACCATATCTGAAACATGACAGGAATGCAAGGGCAAAGTCGAAGCAATGATTTATTTAAGTTGGAAAAAGAAAAGCGGCGTCTAGTGCAAGAAAGTCCGTGATGGCAAACTGCCAACGGACTGCTTCCGGTAATTAAATACGTATACATCCTTGCCTTTTGTTTGGAAAATTTTTTTGTTTCTCACAAAAAAAGGGAAGCAAGTAGCTGAGTGGGAAGTATGACGATTTTTATGGACTGAAATATTGATATGAGAATAGAGGCCGGGGAAAATTTACACAATCTTGTCTTTAAAGAAATAATCTATCTAGTAATTATATAATTGTGTATAGGGGTTGCATATTTATGAGAAAAATATTTATGTTCATATACAATTATCACTTTTCTATGTTATGTAAAAACCCTGGAAAAGAAGACTGAAAATGCTCTCTGAAGTTGTTTCTAAAATTAGTTTGATTACATTGTGATATACATGGTCCCTAGAAAATTCGCATACTTGTGGTCTATGGATGCAATAGATCAAGAAAATACGACCAATGGGGAAATTATTCCGACTTGAGTTGCTGAAGCAGTTTACTTAGAGAAGAATGGATGCCAAACGTGCGATATTATGAATGTTACTCGAAAGTTATTCGAATCTATTCCTTTGAATATTGGCTTCCAACTTAGTGAGGGCTCCGCAGTATCAACACTTATGATTTCCTTTAGCAAATACTTCACCATAATGTATAACTATTTCAATATTTTAGAAAATTGCCACCTAACCTTTAGAGTTATGGATTACTCCTGTTTTGGAGCGTTTGTTCCCCGTTTCATGTTCAGACCAAATTCTCAGTTGTTTAGCCTCTTCAATGTGATGGCTATCCAAAACAATTCTTTAGTAAATAAATCTGAAAACATATGATGCTTGTCTCNATTGATTTTTAACTTATTCCTTGTGATTTTGCTCATAAGAATAAAGAGCTTTTATGAACTACTAATTTACAAAACATTTGAAGATGGCTTGGTATTGTATCCCTTGCACTTGCGGCCAAATTTATACAGGAGCTACTAAACATAGCACAAAAACGATGATGGCTATCCAAAACAATTCTTTAGTAAATAAATCTGAAAACATATGATGCTTGTCTCGTCTAGATTTCACACCAAGAGACATTTGTTATAAATAATAGTAACTTCCTATGATGTTATTGACAGTATAATAATTCTCGTATGAACCGCCAGCAATCGTGAGTGATAGATATATCATTGAATATTAAATTTGAACTTAATTACTGGACGACTCTCGTATGAATTTATTGATTGTGTATGCGCATTTTCTCTCTGAATCGCTTTCGCCCTATAAATTTCAAAAAGTAAGTGTGACATTAATAAATCGACCCAGCGTATCGTCGTCTTTGATGATCGTGTCGATGCCATTAATGGGCTTTCCCGGTAAAATGGCGACGGGGAAGAGTGTGTAGGTTCTATCCGTCAGTTGCAGGGATATATTTCCAGTAAGCTGACCTCTGGGACCGGATAAATAGGTCTCCGACTGCATTTTCAGGATTTCCCGCGACATGAAAAAGAACTCGCCTCATCGAATAGCAGTGTCGTTTATTTCAATCGCGATGTCTCTTGCAGTTTAGGATTTAATAAAGCATGAATTCTGAATTGAATCATAAACTTCTTTTTTTTTAAGTCTGGAATTCCGTTCCACATTTACTAGAACGAAAAATATCAAGTGCATATTTGAGAGGACCTTGGAAACATAAATAGGATGCAGTTAATGTTAATAGAAACTGGCAGAATTAAATTAAATTAATTTTAATCGATTTTTGGAACTCAAATGTTTTCTTGTAATTTGTTATTAAAGTAGATTAGATCATGCAAAAAGACTTTGTAGATGGGCATTTTAGTGTCCGACCGAAAGTTCGGTTTCGGTTTCGGTCGAGTTTCGGCAAAAAAACGAGTTTCGGTTTAGTTTCGGTTTCGGCGGCAAACATGCCGAAACTACCACCGAAACCGAAACTGCGTTCGGGAGTTCTCGCGCTCTGCTCGGTCATGTTCGGCGCGTTAAATTAGTAGTTTACTCTTTGTTTCTGTTGAAGTTTAGTGTCATCCAACATGACGAATTAAGTTTAGAAGTCGTTAATTTGTTCTTAATTAAGATAAAAGTGGTTTATTTTGTTTTGTTTATTACTTAAATATTAAGTTCCTATACCTATTGTGATATTAGGTAACAATAACAAAAGTAATTTTATGTTTAATATTATATAAAAAAAAGCATGAATAATCTTCAAAAGAAAAATGAGTCTAGTCTACTATACTTACACAAATAAACATGTCACCTATTTTAAGTATTTTTAAGGCGCAATTAAAGTATTTTCTTAAATGAGGGGTTGTTATGTTGATTTTGATTTGATTATCAATAGCCGAAAATGTCAAAGACAGCAGAGCTATGTGATTTAAAGATAAAAAATAAAACTGATTATGATAACGTTTTCTTTATTTTTCTCTCAAAACATGATCCTTATAAGGAAGTTTCGGTTTCGGTTTCGGCCGAAACTGAGACCGTTGCCGAAATTCGGTTTCGGTTTCGGTTTCGGTCGTAAAAACCAGTTTCGGTCGGACACTAGGGCATTTGTTTGTTGTAATGTAACATTTCAAATAGTTTGTTTGATTAAGAAATCCAGTTTGCTATTTCCGAAATTGGTTAATTTGTTTTGTTGCGGCCACGCGAGACAAAGGGACGGTCGTGTTGCAGTAGAATTGCGAAGTGAAGTGCGATACGGGATCGGCCCGTGTTTGCGTAAATACAAGGAAATTAAGTTAAAGTGAAACGTCGTTTGAAGTGTGTTTGTTGCGGCGGTTTCTCTTACAACGATCAGCTCTCAGAGGTTACTGGTGGAAATCTAATTTCCAGTTTGTGTTAACGCGCCACATTTATCGATAGAATGGAAAGGCCAAGTATTGTGAACGAAAGTTTTCCATGAAAAATACAGTATCAACAATCAAACTAAAAATGGTAAAGGTACGTAGATGATTTGGAATATTTGAAGTGATGTAGTTACGTTAGTTAAATGGGTACACTCATTTATGTACAATAATACCATGAGTTATTATAGTGTAAGCGTATTTGCAACAGAAATTTGTGCAGCTATCTCCTCTGATGATACGATCTTCTGGAATTAACTGACTACTAAAGCGTCTAACTAACGTTTGGAACTGCGCTTGAGATGTACTCTCGATATCTAGGATGTTGTCGTTTGATTGGTATCAATGAGTCAATGTCAATATTCGGTCATTGTGGTTAAAGGTACACTCCGGAGGAATCAGCTATTGCAAGAATTAGTTCGACTGCGCTTAAAGTCTCTGGAAATTTTTATTGTGACGAAAAGCAAAGTATTACCTATGTTGGTAATAATATGATTAATTTGTGACATAACGTGTAATTTTAAGGAGAACATGTTGGCAGTATTTATATATTTCTCTGGTTAGCAGGGGCGCAACAATGGGGGGGGGGTCCACGGGTGCCCCCGCACCCACTCGATTGTTCGTAAATAATTAGGAGTAGGTGCTAAAGCGTCAAGAACATTGGTTAGGTTGTGGTATAGATTAGGCGATGATTAAATTGCAAAATGAACCATCACCAATGGTACCCATCCGTCCGAATTTGGGTGGGTTCATCTAGTAGATACACGATAAAGTGCACTGACGATGAGAGGGGTTCCACACTGGGGAAGACTCTAAAAATCATATTTTATTTTTATCACCATGATCAGAAATTACTTTCCACACCATAGCTGACGATAACGATCAAATTTCAGTTCTTCTTCGATATCATCTTCGTTTAGAAATTTTATATACTTCTGTCACACCCAACGGATGGATGAACAATGTTGCCGCAATAGTAGGGTTCCATTGGACCCTTGGGTGAGGGACCTTGCAGACATATATTGAGAAGGAATAAATACAGCTGGCTAGGTACCATTGTTTTTTTATTATTTTTTGAATTGGTGTTCATTTTTAATGTTTTTTAGGCAAATTGCTGCAACACTAAAATTATTCGTTAATTAACAAATTGTATGTTCCAAATGTAGTTTTTGCGAGTGACAGAAAGTTAATTTGCTGGCAATCACAAAGTAGATTAACAACAACCATGACTGTCATGGTCGAAGTCTAATTAAACTAGAAAACATGATTGACATTTAAAAATTAAAATTGCCGGTGTTTTTAGTCCTGTTTTACACCACCGTTCTACTACATTATAAATTTTAAAATTTAAACGTTGCGTTGTTTGAATTATTTAGGTACTAGTTGATTCAATTATTTTACAATCACGATGCCAAACTTCGTTTTCAATGACAGTAAATCTAAATATATACGTATAAATATAAGTATATAAGTATGCACATTTCTTTCTCTTGTCTATCGTCTAAACTAGTACATTATCCAATAGGATGAAAAACAAAAATGCCCGAAGAGAAGAATCCTGGAAAAATTACTATACTATAAAGTGGGTGCAAGAAACAGGTATTGACAAAGTTCAATATAAGTCCATTTTAATTTTTATCCAATGAGTTAATGAGAAAAATTGTTGCTGCTGTCACACCCCCGCCGGGAATCCCTCTTTGCTTAGTGGTAAAACCATTGGTGCGTAAAGCCAAGGGTACTTGTTTCGATTCCCAGCGAGGGTGTAACAGCAGCAACAATTTGAGGAAATTTATAGTGAATAAAATTTAAATTAATTTTCTCATTAATATTTGATATTAACCACTATTGAATGTCAAAGTGTTTCATATATATAGTATTAATGTAATTAATTACCGAAATGTTTGTTTTCGTGGTAATCCTCCTTCAAAACTTGAAAACATTGTTGATTTTATGTAACAATAAATCTAACAAATATAATATTTTTCATTGATTTTCTATTTTTTACAGGTGAGTTTCTTCTATATACGCTGTCTACCCTTTGTTTAAGTAAGTTATCAAACTTTTAATTTAGTTTCGTTGTATAACAGGATCAGTTAGTCTCCAGGAATAGTGATGA